AATTCATTGATATTTGATGTGTTTCGATTGGATTGTCTCCTTTTGCTTTAAATTTTATTCCATATTTTGCGATGTTTTTTTAAAATGCAGCTCATATTTAATATCAGAAAATGATTGATGATAAATGTTCTCAGTTTTCAGCTATATAGTTACTTCTCATTTCAAATTGTTATTTAAAGCAGCATAAATTTTCACCAAAGTATGTCTTGTTTCAAGATGTACTACAAAAATAATTCAAAAGTATTGAATAAATCACAAAAATTCCAGGAATAAAACAATATCAACAGTTCGTTTTTTAACATCTGTTGAATAACATTATTTAAGTATTAATAAATATAAAATTGTCAATATGTACTCATCGTGTTCTAAAAAGAAAACAGAATAAAACTTCAAATTAATAAAATTCATGTCATCAGCATGTCAATCGATTCTAAGAGAGAAAAATAACGAGACTTCATCAATTTCTAGTTCAATTTAAAGCATGAATGAAATCGTAGTTGAAAGAGGGTGGGGTGTGGGTGGGTGTGGTTGTTTATTGTTCATCCACACCCACACCCCATTTTTGCCTTCTTATGTCTTTAATAACTGAAAATTAATGAATAGAATGGGAGAAAAGAAGAAGTAAAATATTCGCAGTTTCTTTGCGCTAAATAAATAACAGTCAATATAATTTCTTTTGTATTTTGAACCTTCTTAATAAGTTACTTACTAGGATTAAATTATTCAAGTCACCAAGTTCTTCCTAATTTGAATAGTGTTTTGCTGTTGATTAGAATGTTTTCTGTATCTTACATCGCTGGTTTGTTTTTTTTGAATGATTCATATCTTACTTTTGCAGCATGTCAGACCCTTATCTTCCGTTACTATTTTTGTTTGTCTCCTTTTTTTCGTGTTTTTATAAATTCTTATCAAATAAGTACTCTATGAGAAGGACTGTACATAACAACAATAAGACATTCACTGAAAGATAAGACGCCGAGTGACGACAAAGAAGCAAAAAAACTCATAGTTATTCAATGACATTCATTTCATATGGAATACACAAAACAATATTGATTTCTGTATAATATGACGTGATTGGAATCGTTCAAAATTAGACAATGACTAGTAAGGAGACATTTCATTGTATCTCCATTCGATAATTCGATTACTGATAGTTAAAAGAGCACGATTGTTCTAGAAAGATGTTGTTGCATTTAATTTCATGTTGAAATAAATAAAACTCACATTATCAGGAACTTGAGACAATTTTCCTTTCAGACAATACAAAAGTTGATAATTTTTACTTCAATTCATTTTTCAATTTAAATAGATATTTTATATGATTTGACGTTTCATCTTATTTCTCAATAAAAGAGAAGAAAAAGAAAAACATTTAGTTTGTTCATTTGTACTCGAACTTCAAAAATATTTACATGCAAAAAGAAATATTTCGAACAAAAATTGGTTTTATTTTTTTTATCTAAATCTTTTGAAAATAAATGCGGAAACTTCGGATTTAAATCCGAGAGTTATGTGTACTTCAAAAAGTGAATGAGACAGATGAGTCGTTCTAGAACGTGTGGACATCAAAATTATACTGGGGAACCTACCCTCTAAACTGTTGATTTCTATTGAGTATTGCCAAACCAATAGGACTTGGGACCGAATACAGAGAAAATTTGAACTCTTCCCCTTGATTTACCCTAAGAAAGTCGTTTTTTCTATAACTTCATTTCTATTGGTCACTGCTCAACCAATAGTATTTCGATGGAAGTGGAATACAGATTCGAGTTCTCCATCTCAGAAAATCTCGAAGTATCATCACTGTGATCGGAAGATAGAGCTCTATTTGTGGATCAATTAGATCGTGGACAAAAATCTAACCTAGTTCTCTTTAATTATCTTTGTGATAGATGAGCCAACCTTCTTGTTTCTTTATGTTTTATATACCATTTTGTAGCTCGTGAAATTCTCTATTGAATGGTATATAATAGTTGGGGTTTTAGTTGACTATGATAGGAAAAGTCTTTTACGAAAGTGGGGATGGGTCGATCTTTCCATAGGGAAGGTGCAGGGAAAAATGAGTATTTTTGCAATAACTCAGGAACGGCTCGGCCAATCCTTCTCATCTTCGAACTCGACCGAGATATTGTTAAGACTGAACTGTGTAGAAAATTTCATCGCGATCGGACTCTCCTTTCGAAAGTTATCGGATAAACGGACGGACGGCCGGCCGGACACACTGACCGATTTTAGTAGTGTACTCACTTTTTGAGTACACAAAAAACAATCTTTTAAGATAATCTAATATAATTATAAAAATCGAAATGGTAGGCATAGACTATTTGAAATTCTGATGTTTTAATAATATCTCATGATCAAAAGACATTGTTTTAGATGAAATTAAAATTGAAGGAAATCTCGAACAATTTTTCCATAGATCAATTAGATACCCGAAGAGACTTTCAAAGTACGTCAAAAACTTATTTTATGGAATAAAAAATTTAACATTGTCAGAATGTGAGGATAGATTTACATAAGTATCTACATATTAAGATCTATTGAAAAATAAATATCGATTAAAATCTATTACCGGTAGAAAAATCAGTATATAACATGAGTATATTGTTCTTGATATTTTTTTTTTGTGCAAAGCTGTTTGTGACGTCAGACTAGTAAACAGAGCTGTAGTGATAGCGAGGCTTTTATTGTCTTGTGACTGCAGACTTTCTAGATTTCGTAGGAGACCGACGAAATCTGTGAAAAAAGTTTTCTTGACCATTGACAATCATTTTGAAGATGTCTTAGATTTTTACGAAACCCTTTTTAGAATTTAGATTTTTTACAACAAAATGGTTTGGTATGACACCTTCTTTTTGCAGTGTAGTCTGGCCGATCTTCAGATTGATAGATAAAAAAGAACTGGTTATTCCTCAACATCTAGATATAGTATGCGTACAATAGCCATTGACGATTTCAATTGGCCGAGACAGAGTACAAACAAGTTTGATAGGCCTAGGAGACCCTAGATCCGCACTCAAACACCTACACCCTTTTTCAAATCAAGCTTAATCTGATAATTATAAAGATGGAACACCAATAATTAGTGATAATACCATGGTATTACTCTTGTATTTCGAAAACAGAATGAAATCAATACTTTGAGTTGGATCAAAAGTATAGGTAGAAAAGATATTCGAAAAAATAAATTCTTACTCATTAGAAATATTGTCAACCACCACCAGCAGTAGCAAAGACAGTACCGATCCATGAGAAAATAAGAAGAGCTAGACAAGCAAAGGCTAAACCTACTTTGCTAATATAATAATTCAATTTTCATTTTCTTGTTTTTTTTCAATTATTCTTTAAATTTCTTATTTATTCTGTGATTCTTTAATTTATTTAAATTTATTTTTTACTGATAAATTTTCCATTTTTTAGTGATATAAATTGAAATGTTTTATTGATACGTGTATTTAATAAATGAAGTTATGATTAAAGAAAAACATTACGTTATTTTTTTTTTGAAAAATTGTGAAACACTCATTTTCGTATGGAAGTCAAAGATAGTATTTATGAAATTTATGCTCTTCTCTTCTAAATAAAAGAAAATATTAGATTACGCTTGTTTAGTAATTGAGTCTTACGCATTTTTTAAGTGGTCATCATTTATGAAACAATTTGTAGATGGGGGTCACCCAACGATCCGATTGTTTAAGCGTATCACGCGGAGAGAAATAACAAGAAAAAATGAAGTTATACATTAATTAATGAATGACGCTTGATGGGATGACTTGATCATGCTTTCTATTCGTGCTTGTTTGGCAACCCACGTATCAATGATTTTACTTCATCCCATTTATTAAATGACGAATGAATAAATATAATCACCTGGCATTACTCCTTTAGTTAGTGTGTTTTCTTTTTGACGATAATTAAGCAAGTGCCTACACAATATGCATCATCATCATCATCATTTGTTTGGTGACGCTTTATTGGCTGGCGCTGTTGGCCTAGGTACCTATGAATTGTGGCATCATCATCACTATGGCAGTTTTAGTTTCGGAAGTCCTTACAACGATGATAGTTTCTTTGGAAGATATGGTTCGCCATATGGTTATGGATCATACTCTGGATACGAGGGAGGTTATGGTTTCTATTACTGATGTTATGACTACGCTTTCTGTAAAGAAACAATGACGATCTATTATGATATTCTTTTGATCTGAGTTTTGTGAACGATATTTTGATTATTTCAATAAACTTTCGTAAAGACTGATAATAAGATTCAAAGAAGAAACAGCAGACTTCGACGCACTTCTATTCCCTGTGTTAGTATATAAATCTGTTGATTTTAGCAATTTCTGATAACGCATTAGGAATGAATATGACATCAATAAAAAATTTTCGGATAAAACTACTGTTTTAATGAACCACAAAAGTTAGATCGTTTATGCATCTATATCCACCAGTGAAATTTGAACCACAGTTTTATTGGTTCTCATTGCATCATTTACAGACCGCAGCTTTGAAATAGTTTTAGATTTTTATAATTGAATTTTGCAGAGCTACTAAGGATTTCATGAGATTCCAAAGGATTGGAGTCTATTGTTTCCCGCTTGATCCAGACATACCAAATATGAAATGTTTTTTTCATCATGGGGTAGTACCAAAACCCTCTTGTTTAATGTTAAGATTTTATTTTTGTATTTTTCGTTAATAGCTTCTTTACAAGCAAAAAAAATTATTTTGAACATCTTCAGAAAATAAATAGTTATATAGATGACACCAATATTGTAATAAAATTTTAGCATAGATGGTAATTCATATATTCATCAATAGACGTTTTCTTTTCATTTTCGTTTATTATATTAGTTAACCATAAATCACATCTCAGCATTTTTCAATAATGAAATAAATTCAATTAGCTTTATATACATATACATATTTTGCTTCGTTAAATAATCCATCACTATTGCTGTTGTATTAATTTTGCATGACTAAATTTATTAAAATAATTATGATAATGTATCTACAGTATCCTCATCATCGGTCAGGTTTCGAAAAAGAACATTAAAAACTTGATAATAAAAAGTTGGATAAGAAGTACTTGCATGTTGACAATTGGGTGCAAAATTAATTTCTAATATTAAATCAGTTGCATATGAAGCTCGTGATGATAAACATGAACCAATATCAAATGGTGGCTGCTCGACTGTTGCAGAATGAAATATTTCTCGACATATTTCAAATATACGTTGTTCAATACTTGACCATATTTCACCAT